TCTTTCCACATTTTCCTGAATTATCTTACAGTAAATCCATTACTTTGGCACGTGTTCTGTGTTGTAGCCTTCCATTAGGAGACTCTTGTATATAGTACAGGAACCACTTCAGTATTAACTACTAGAGATGCAAAAAACATTCCTCAGTGGCCTCTCCTGACAAGTGGTATGCCTTTCCATCTGCAACTTTTATGGGTATGTAAAATAGGAATAAGCACCTAAGATCAAGGGACCTGTGGCATAAGATTTTGTTGAATTTCAAGATCTATTACAACAGAACTTATTATGGTTTTCCTCCTCCTCAGCTTCCCTATTTTACTCTGTGAAATTTGGATCTGTCAGTTGCATGATACCAATCAGCTGTGATAAGAGGACAACTGACATTTCCAAAGTCTATGATCAAAGACCAATACTGGTTTGACTAGCACGTGCCATGTCCAGATGAATGAGAGGGGATACCACAAAAACAGTGATAAGGAAAGGCACTGCCACCTACAGCTGTACTTATAGGACAGGGAACTTGGCAGCTGCAATTCTTAATGTGAAAGGAAATCTGTCTGTTTATCGAGTCTGAAATGCAAGCCTACTTTACAGCAATACAGAGGATAACTACAAGCTATTAAAAGTGCTATTCACAACTGTCCTTCCAGCAGGCATTCTGCATTTTCTTTAGTGAATAAACGCACTTTGGTTTTGATCCCACTATTGAAGTAAGAAATTTGAGTTTCTTCTCTTGAAAAATCTTAACCCTAAAGAAAGTCTGAACTTACCCTTCTAGTAGGCTACTATGTCTAGAAATAAAAGGAAACACTGGAAGATTGTAGGAGGTGCTGAAACATTTGTTTTGAAATTTTATTACAAAAATAGATTTGCAAACATACAAAATTTTGGATGAAAAATGCTCATTTTAAACATTTATGCAATAACTTAATAACAGCAAACATACATAGGTGCTATAAAATCCATACCATACCAAAAACGTTAATGATGCAGTATCTACATTTATTGACTGACAATTATTCTCAGTTTCCAGAGATCTTTCCTGAATCCCCCTTCCCCGTAGTCTTCATATTGAAAGAACATGCAAATGGGTACAACTGGTGCATCCACATAAGTGATAGAAATTACTAAAAGCACATAATGTACATAAAAAACTCTAACCATATGCCCATACACTGAATAAAAATAAATACACCACCAAATTAGAGATACTGCAATTTTTCCAAATAGAAATGAAAGGAAGATACTGCATATTAACATTTTTGTAATGTTGCCAGACAAAACTGAGGTGATACATATTGCACACATTCCTCCTATTAAGATATGCAGTACAAAGCAACTCCAATACCTGGCAAAAAAAGGTGGCCGATTTGTTTAGAATACTTTTAAAAGCAAGTAGTCCCAAATTAAAGTTTGTTTTCAAAAATATTTCAGAAATTGTATCAGTGACTACACATGGCATAATGGTTGTCAAAAATATACCAAAAAAAGTAATTAAGAAATGCAAGCAAAAATGAGATACATCCAGCAGCAAATGTGTAAGTATTGAGTTATTTCTACACAGAATTAAACATGTTATATTCAATCAAGATATTTATTTTTAAAAAACTTTATTCAATCATTCTATGAATCCTGTTTAATTTGGAAAGATATTCTGCTTTTAAGTTAATAGTTGTTAGGCACCTTTCATATAAACTTTGCATTATTAAATAACAGCTGATAAAGTCTATCTACAACACTGAGGATTTTGATTTTCCTGAACAATTCAGCAGCTGTAGGTTTTAAAACTTTCTTTTACTAGGTGTGAGTTTGGTGTTGTTGTTTTTTTTTGTTGTTATTTTCAAAGTGACTTAATGCTAGCCACAAAAAATGTGCTTAAATGAATTTGAGGAGTATAGTCTAAACTAGTAATATTTTAATTCTCAGAACTAACAGATAAAATCCAATTAAGCCATTAAGTTTTAAGAAATAAAAAAAAAGTCACTTGAAAATGGTCATAATAGTTTGTGATGACCCACAGTAACTTGCTACACACTAGTTATCCCTACATGCAGCTAATGTGAATCAAGCACTTCGGCAAGCTGGTAATTTTAGATTTCTACAAAAAGTTAAAATAACCAGGAAAAAGGTTGTTAAATAGCACAGTCCACATTTTAAAAAGAGATTCAAATTTTATACTGCAATTGAGCTTGTGTTTTACAATGCAACGTTTCAGTAGAGTTTCTGTTAAACACACTACCATGGCACTAGCCATAAGTGGCAAACTGTAACTCTGTGGTGGTTCCAGTGTCTTGGCTACATGTAGAGGCTGGAATACACAAGTTCAGGTGTTCAAGATGAACAAGTTTGCTTGTAAAAATGCCTGCCTAGTAACTATGATTTCAATTGTCTTCCAACTAATTGTGAAAGTGTGTGAGGGAGTAAACCAATGAAGTATTGCTTCTAGTACACTACAAAGCCAAAAGTAAAGCAAGGATCTGCCAGCTGCTTGTGGGGGTTCCTGGACAGCTGGAAACAAGTTAATGATACTCAAAGTAGAGTTAAATTCTCATAACATCAGCGCTACTCTAAACAGTATTACTCTTGCCAGCTGTATGTGACTGAAGAACTCAAAATACAACTTCTTCCTATCATTTCTATAGATCTTTGGATACAACTGCATTTAGCAAACAGTACCAATGTACACTATCAGCTTCCAATATTTCTACTTTTAGAAATTTTTATCAAATCTTCCTTTGAAGAAACCAGAAGTTGTCCATAAGAAGTAAGAAGTTACAGACTTAATATTTGCTTAATCCAGATAAAAAACAACTCTCTATTTGGCTTAGGCTATCCACTTTTGTTCAGAGGAACTGCTCATTGATTTGTCCCTTTTAGTGAAAAGTTTTTCTACAAAAACCCAACAAAGCAAATTACTTTAGACCTTAGATATAATTTGAGTCTTGCTGTTCATAAGCATACACAGTATTATAACTCCAGAATTTAGGTACGAAGCTCCTGTCTTCCTTAAGACAGCTGAGTTTATATTGCTGAATTCAAATGCTACCATTAAAGACAACATATTTCTTGATGAATGTGCATGACATTAGCATCCTTCCCTGAATCTTGCACATTTTTCTAACAAAATACTATATATTTAACTGGAAACACTGAACTCAAAGGCTGACAGGAACTCTTCAGAGAGCAGGTAGTGCTAAAAAAAAATATATTTTCTACTAAAAAGCTAAGAAAAGAACTAAAATAGATCAAATACATAAAAATGTAAATATTTGTATCTAAAACATATTGATTTGTGAACAAGTCACAATTAAAGCTCAATTACTAGTTTCCAATGAAATGAACATGCACCTTGACTATGTCAACATCAGCTAATCCTTAGGATATATACATACATGTAAGGAGACAAACATTTTTTTACTTCATATTTCAATAGTGCTTGAGGAAGAGAAGCAGTGCATCACAACTAACCACAGATTATCTTTTTACTCAATAAACCAAAACTTTTCTTCTGGAAAAGCATCCTTTAAAACTACTATTGCTGGGAAAAGTTGGGACCTGAAGTCTTATGAATTACCTTTGCATGCCTTTAAGAAAGAAATGCAAGCTATGGGCAAACCAACACAGCAGCATAAGAAACTATAATTAGAAATTTTCTGATTTCAAATGGGAAAGTATCCAGTTAAATTCTTACATTAGTTAACAGAGAATTACTAAATCATCTATAAGAAGCAGTAGCATTTTAATCAGATAAACTTCAGACTATGAAATATGCACAAACAATCTGGGGAGAGGGCAACAGAAAAAAAGCATGCATTTGTTCCCCATCTGCATAGTTTTCAACACCCCACTTCCAACACAACTGAGGAATGAAAGCCAACATGGTCCATTCTTAAACTAAAGGGAAACAAAGTATTTCAATTATATCAAACACTGGAAATAGGAAGAGGGTCTTCCAGTGGTAGTCTCCTAACTATAAATTTAAACCAACTTCAACATGCAACAGAGCTACTCCGTTGCTTTAAAGCACAAACCAAGGAGATACAATCACTGAGGATTTTGCATATTTGTAATTTTGCCTTTTTAGAGAAAACCACCTTACTCATTTGGATACCTGTTTCATGTCAGCAATGCAGAAACACAAGTGATTAACAGAATATTTAAAAGATAAAATTATGTACATTAGATAGACTGTCAACGTAATGAGCAAATCACATTTTTAAACATTTTGTTAGCTCCAAAGGCCTAGCTTGCAGATCTGTTCCTTTCCCACACCTGCCAACTTAATCACAAGGCATTTTGCTTTCCTCAGTCCCTCAGACTGGAACTAGGTTCCCACAACTGATTTTTTTTCTGCTGTGGTGTAGTGTACTGTACATAGTATTTGCTGGTTTAAATAATATTGAGTCTGTAATCTTTGAACAGTGAATACAGCTAGACACGAAAGCCAGAGCAAACATCTGCACATTCACCTTATGCTAATGAGAGCTCAAATGCAACTTAAGTCCCCTCCCCAATAAAAACAAAGGTTTGCTGGTGATGATCACAGTGAAAACTTAGATCACTTCTGAGAACATTACTTTCGTAAGTATTTAAGGAATAGTCTTTCCTAACAGGTTCAAATTCAAGACGTTGAAAACTAAGTATTCTTTTACAAAAATAATAGTTTTATAGATGAGGCATAAATGTTTCTAAAATGAATACATCTTAAGTAAATTTAGCTTCAATTATAGCTTAATGTTGTCTGTATTCTTGGTTAGGACTTGCAAGTAGACTTCATGAATAGTGCTGAGAAAACGGGAATCATTCTGCAGGAAAAAAACCAACATATTAGAAACATTAGTACAAAGATGCAAAAAAGTTTAATGCCATGTAAGTTGTGCATAAGGATTCCCTGAAGTGCTATCTTAGAGTTAAGAGAAGGGAACTAGCTGCATACTAGTACAAAAGGCAATGCTTCTAGTTAAAAGTCTTTAAAGAGGAACAAACCATACATACCAACACAGCAAACAGTTATGCAAAAAGGAACAACATAGATAAATCAGGCAACCTAACTAATGAAGGAATCTGGTAATGGGCCTTTTTCATCCTAAAAAACTTCACTGCTGGGAAGGTATGATTTGTTATTTTAAAATGTGCATTTTGGGTGTACGCTCTACTAACATCACCATGGAGGGTACAAGAGAATCCCAAATTAACAAAGAACGGTTTGTCATCCATCTTAGCTTCACCATGACATCAGAGGTCAGAACTATCCCAATGCATGTCTACTCTCAACATCACAGACTTAATTCTACTGAACTTTTTAGTCCCTAGAAATAGCAGAACTAAAACTTTACTATTTCCATGTCTAAGACAGATGCTCAGGTTATGTATTAGGAACAGTTCTAGAGAACTGGAAACAGGAAAGCTCTCCTTAGGAAAGCAGCAACAAAGACAAAAAAAACTAAACCACTATTCCCGTACCAGGATTTCTACTAGCGCAACTTTTTCCTCACTTGTCTGATGTACAGCTCTGTCATTTTAATTCCTTCATCTCGCAACCAAAAGGAGCCAGCTGTGCCATACTATGTGCACAGTGTGGAGTAATCTACCCCTTCCAACAGAAAGGAACAACTTCCTTAATGTTTCAGGGCAAAAGGAGTTACAGAGGTACAGAATTTCTCAGTACTGACTACTGTCCTTGGAACCCCATCCCTCAGAAATTGAGCTCTGTAAAGTCAGGACCTTTATTAGATGTATCAGTGCTTCTTGAAGCTGAGACCTACTGAGAACAGTAGGAGGTATAGTCTGAATTTCTGTTGCTCCCAGTGTTAAAGGCGAAGAAGAAGTGGCTTTATTCTCCACTTCAGTAGCTTTAGTAGATGATTGCTGAAAAACACTTGGCGACAAGAGGATTGAAGGTGTTACTGTAGTCGTGGCTGTAACAAACTGTGGAGGTGCAACCTGTAAAACAACCAAAAATTATCAAGCACTGTGTCCAGTAAGAATGAATGCTGTTATGAATCACTATTATTCAGTCAGATATTACAGAATAACTGCTGTTGATTAATAAATATCTGCCTATGAAGATTAATATCAATAGTAATTCTTATTTTAAAAGGTACTGGATGTAATAGTCTTCAGTATTCTTGTATGCAGAGTCCTTCCTCCTCATGTTGTTGCTACCTTCCATAATTTTTGAGATACAACACATTGAATAAAAGAGATTTTTACCTGCATAATCAAAGGATCAAAGGAGCCTGTAGTTGTTTTGCAAATTATTATTTTCCTTAGGAGTTTACAGAAAGGCCAGTCCTGCTTGTTTCTGCCTCATAACAGCACTTTAAATATGGTCAGTGGGCAACAACTGAGATACCAACTGCTTACGACAGTTCCCTCCCACCTTTATTTTTTTTAAGAATACCAACAAACATTTAGCATTCACTTACTTGACTTGCTTTAGACAAAGTCTTCGGCTGTGGATATGTTTCTGATTCCTTGTTTTGTTGTACAGTCTAAGTTAAAAAGAAAACATAATTCACATGTTACCATCCACAGCTCAATTTCCAATGGGGGTTCTCTGTTTTAATGAAACCCCAAAAATGCAAATTTCAACAGATTTTGGATTTAATTAAATCCATTTTATAAACCTGATGGGAAATTGGAAAAAGAGGAAAGATCTGAATTTATGTGTGATGGCTTCAGTATTACAGCAAACCTGTAAAGCTGTAACAAAACACTTCTGAAGGAAGACTACTATGGTTAAAAAATATAATCTAAACATGAGCACACTGAAACTGGGAACAAATCAAATGCTACAAATTGAAGAGTTCAGTACCTTGTAATCACTTTGGTAAATTGCCAGGAAGGTTAAATTCAGTATGTTTCAGGAAGTTTTATTTAACAGCCTCCATAAAAATTAAATGCTGTTTTCTGCTAGAATTTCAGAAGTATTTTAGACCTTCACAAACAGCATCCAGATATTTCTTTAGTCTTTAGTTCTTTAGATTTCAAGACTACAATATAATACAATTATAACTATTATAAGATATTAGAAAACACAATAAAAGGCATGTAGATAAGGTACTTCACTAAATTCCTGTGGCATTCTTCAAAAATCGTATTATAGCCATTTGGAATACCTCTTGGCAACATGTAACAGGAAAACCCCTCCACAACAGACAGTAGTTAGCTTACTTGGATTGCAAGGAAAAAGACTTGGGGGATTGACAATCCTTAATGACAAAAATAAAGTCAGCTTTATGAAGAGGTGACAAGCACAAGCTCAAACTCTTAAAATCTAATTACACAAGAGTTAATAAGTCTTTTGCTAGTTCGCGTATATTTGGACTATGGAGAATTTTGTCTAATTAAAATATACAGACACTGGACATGGTGGAAGGAAGAAAAGGTTGTAAGACTGGCATGTTAAGAGCTAATTCCCAAGGCTATCATCAAGCAGATGCTGCAGAACTGCTGTCAAGGGCAGTTACAGATAAACCTAGCCAGCTTTTGTAAATGCAAAAAATGTCACAATCTTCAGTCAAATCTGTACCAGGCTTTAGTAGTACAGAAAATAAAAACACTGCTCAGAATGTACAGCTCTTCAATAGTAGATCAAGATAGCTGCTGTACTGGGACCTCCTCCACCCTCTGCAAAACGAATCAGTCCAAACATCTCAAAAAGGTGCTCACAAGTAAAATAATGCTAGCACATAGCAGTCACAGCCTTCAAAATTTTCAATAGTAGTAATTAGAAATTACTGTCATCCAGGGACAAGCACTGGATGCTAATAAACATTAGGAAATTCATGCAGATATAAGTTGTTTTGTTTGGCATTTTTTATTCTTGCTTCATCACTGTACCTAAGATGCAAGACATAATCGAACACTGGTTTAGCCTGCATGAATGTGAATAAAATAATAATGCAACAAAATGAAGTCTTTGGATAACCCCAGAGGTGGGCACTACAGAAAGTTACTCCTTTTGCAGAGAAAAGAAATCCAATAACCCAAACTCATTAATGTCTTTACTACTGAGGTAGCCAATTATACAGCAGAGCAATACTAAATGATAGAAAACCATTTATGATACAAAGCTACATGCATTAACCTTTCAGACTAGCAGTCACATTTTCTCTTAATCTCTTATAACAGATTTACTGCTTTGACTTATATTAAGGCATAGACAATAGATACTCCTTCAATAAATAATACGTTTCAGAGGTCCTTTGTAAGCAATACTATAATAAAACAACCCAAGGTGGCCAGCTAGGCAAAATAAATTAGTTTATGATCCATTTTCTTAGAATCATGGAACCATTCATGTTGGAAAAGACCCTTGGGATCACCAAGTCCAACCATCATCCCTACTCTACAAAGTTCTCCCCTAAACCATATCCACAAACGCCACATCCAAATGACCCTTAAACACATCCAGGGGTGGTGACTCAATCACCTTCCTGGGCAGCCTATTCCAGTGTCTGACCACTCTTTCTGCAAAAATGTTTCCCCTAATGTCCAGTGTAAACCTGCCATGTTGCAGCTTGAAGCCATTCCCTCTTGTTCTGTCGCTAATTACCTGTGAAAAGAGACCAGCACCAACCTCTATACAATGTCCTTTCAGGTAGCTATAGAGAGTGATGAGGTCTCCCCTCTGCCTCCTCTTTTACTAAATAACTAAAAATATTTCAACGTAGCCCACAGGTATCCCCAGCAGAAAGGGGTCAACACTGAATGAGTAAAAAAATATTAAACCAAAAATAACCAGAAGTGGGAAATTGTTGATTAACATAGAACAGCACATTTTACAGTGGAAAAATACATGTAGTCTAAGAACAACCTAAAGCGTCATGGATATAAAAACCCACAGAATACCTGAAGGGGTGAGATTATCTTGCTGTTCAAAGCTGATGGCTTACTGTGAGACTCTTTGAAACTTTCTGGTGTTGCAAGCTGGCCAACCGAGGCAGAGATGTTTGATGTTAAGGAAGTCTTAGTGAGAGGCTGCTGTTGCATTTGGTCATGCTGTGGGGTCAACCTGAGTTTCTGGAGAAGATCAACACTTGTATGGGATGTATTTGAGACAGTTCCTGAATTTGTTGATGTCAAGGGTGCTATAAGCTGGCTTTGCCCAGCCATTAGATTTTGTGGAGCGTGGTTCACCTCAGATGGCGGCTGATTCACTAGTGGAGTTATCTGCTTGGCAGCTTGCTGCATAACTTGCATTATACTGTTGCTTTGTTTTAGTCCAGGAAGCATCTGAGCAGGGGCAGCTTCCATTGTCGAGGCTGAATTAAGAACAGGGCTTAAACGAACTGAATAGCTTGAAACGTTTTTCACATCAGGCTGGGAAACTGAAGCTGGAGGTATTTAAATCCTGCTGAGTCACAGGATTGGCACTGGTTTTAACACTTAGACTTTCAGATTTCCCTAGTGATTGTTGCATTACTGTTGACTGGTCAAAGGTAAAAGGCAAAAGCAAATTGTGCTGCTCTCTGGCAGAGGTGTCAGTCTGTAACTTTTCCATTCTCTCTGCACTGGGATATGGGGCTGTGGGCTGTTCCTTTGGTACAGACATTCCAAACAGTTCCTCCAAAGTCAGATGCTTCTGCCTTGACTGAAATGCCTTGAAAGAAGGAAAAAGGAAGTTTTCAGAAACATACATACTACTGTGCATCTCACATCACCATTTGCAATTTCAAGAATACTAAACTGAAAGACAACTAGGTAAAATGCATTTAAAATACAGTTTGGATATCAAGCGTGCCCTATTTACAGGAATTTTTAACAGGAATTTTGAAATCAATTTCATTTACAATAAACAACTTGTCTAGATAAGTTTGTTCACTACAGACTTCTATGGAAAGACTGTGGACTAGCAATAAGGAAAGGGGAAGGTTATGGATTCTGTCATTAAGATGGCACCTGCCATCATTGACCAGCACTAACTACATAAGGCATTTTGGGGAGAAAGTTGAAAGGTACATGACTGATCTCGCAAGATATGCTATAATGGAATAAATGTTACAGTATGTAAAATAAAACTCGATAATCCTAAGCAAATGTGTGTATATATATCTCTCCTTGAAAAGTGTGTATACACACACACAATTACATTTTCCACTCATTTATTCTCTCCAAAAAATAAACATCTAGCCTACAGCACTGACACTGTCAGAAAAGTCTGATTTTAAATATACCATCTTAATGTTTTGCTGAAGTTGTTAAAAATGTTTCACTGAAGAGAAAATTAACAGCTATGAACACTCTTAATCTCAAAATTTTCCTTTTTTTTTTTTTAATAGGTTGCACAGGACCAGAAGTTATGTAAAATAGCTGGACTAAAATACAACATTCTGTTCAGAAGACTGAATGGCCTGCAGCACAATTCCAGTGTATTCTGATGGTATGTCTAAACAAAGATGCTATTTTACTATGACAACTACTGTACCATGGCATTACTATGCTAGCTCTAATTTTACAAGCAGTTAACAGTGTGAAGGTATGACAGCACAGGTAGCATGCAAGTAGCCTAATAAATAAACCTTGAGCTTGAAATCATACTGACTTCTGCCCAGGCTACTAATCTCTACTGCCATTGTTATTAATTTTAAACTAGCTTAAAGTCAGGCACACTTTCATTTTGCACCCGAGATATTCTACAGTTTATAAATCTCACTAATTATGTCAGGAATTCTTCCTAAGAAGGTTGTTCTTTGTCTACTGATCTTACTGTTTCGGAGACCTGTCCTTCAACTGTAAAGATTCTGTTAAGCAGAGAACCACACTTGATCTAATTTAAAACTCAGCTTTTCACTTTAATATGACAAACTGACTAGCTTTTGGTACATTACAAACATAGCTATTAGTACATTACAATATTAAAGTAATAAACAGGAATGCTCTGATTCAATCAAACTAGCCCTGTATGTGGATACATGTACACTTGTTTTAGTTTCACTGGTCATTTGTTTCAATTAGATGAAAAATGCATCTTTAGAGATGAAGTGGAATGTTTTTCCAGTAGTCTTTCATTTGTCCATGTTATTAAAAACATGATTAGGAACAAACACATTTGTGATATACTTGAACTCACTGAACTCGCTTTACAGATTTATCACTTATGTTACCCAATTAATTTTTCCAGTATCTCTGCAGCTATTATTTTAAATAGCTCAACATAATTAAAAATATGCCATTTAACCTGTTCTATAATCAACTGTTTCCCTTTAATTACTTCAGAGCAATTAGATAGAATCTTCCCAATTTTTCCTTTGCTAGTTACTTAGTTTCTGTTCTGTAATTCTATGCACTGTCAGGTGGGGCACTTCAGCTGACTGTGTACAGGGAGTGACCCAAAAGAAAATACCTTCTTTTAAAACAAAGCCTCAGACAACCCATCTCCCAGGTCTCAAGACCAGGCATGCAGAAAGCAGAGCTGTCTGCCAGGACTGAGCCTATCGCTTCTGCTGATCCAAAAGTGCATGTTCTGCTGAGGGGAACAGGGGGCTGTGACAGTCAATAATCCCAGCCAATTCCCCACCCCTCATTCTAATTCATTAACTGTTACTACCCCATCCCCT